TTTGAGAAACGATGTACAAATGCGCTTTACACAATTGATGTGTGTATGGATTGGGATAACAGTTGTATGAGCCCCTAATAAAATGTTAAAAAAAAAAAAGAAACATCCTCAGATCATCGATGCCAAGAAGGAAATTCAACCGTGCCTTCATGTTCAAACAGTGGTTTATCTTAGACCCCGGGGACACTGAGATGATCTGGAAGATGGTCACTGTTAAGCCTCCCCTCGTGGAGGCACGGCCTTTCCTCCATCTGTCATGTGGGCTGTCTTGAAATTTAAGATTTTTTTCTTTTTTGATTTCCAAGAAACTCTCAATCACTGTTTCTTCTGTTTTCTTCCCTTCACCCGCCGTCTTGTGCTCTGGGCTTCTGAGCTTTCTAGTTTGAAGAAACGGACGCTTGCCTTTCCTTCAACTTCAGCACAACGTCACTGCTGTCACTCGCCACCTCTCTTTCTCCAGGACGGCTAACGCTTCCACTTGCCCGCCCGACCTGCTCAGTCAGTCTTCAGCTACCTTGACTCTGCTGCTCTTCATGACCGCCCTGAAGTCTTTCTTTCCAAGAACGTCTTCCGGCCCGTGTGTTTTATGCCACCTTCTGGTGCCGCGTGGAACATGAATGTGTGTCTAACTGACTCACGCTGTCCACCATGATTCTCCTTCCATAGCAACTGTACTCATCAGCATTGTGCTCTCGTGTCCTGTGAGCTAGCTGTTCCCCAAAGGAACCCTGGTGGCATAGTGGTTACTCATTGGGCTGCTATCCAAAAGGTCAGGAGTTTGAAACCATTAGTGGCTCTAAGGGAGGAAAAAGAGTTAGTCTCCTCTAGAAACCCACAGGGCAGTTCTACCTTGTCAGATAGAGTCAGAATTAACCTTGATGACAGTGAGTTTGTTTTTTTAAACTATTCACCAAGTAAGGTCACACTATTTCTCCATTCACACACACCCGCCACCACCCTGCCCCACCCAATAGGCTCTCCACCTGACCTAGAGGCAAAGCCAGAATACCGCAGGGTCCTAAGAGACTGGGCCTACCACGCCTGCACCTCTTAGGCCTCCCCCTCCAGTCATCCCCCAGTCACGGCTCCCAGCTGCAGCCACCGCAGGTCTTTACAATGCTACTCTCCTAATTCCACAGCCCCTTCCCTGCAGACTCTCTCACCTCCCTCGGGACCATCTTCAAAAAACACCTCAGTCGGACCTTCACCCAAAACATAGAACAGGCTAATCCTGATCCCTAACTTCTTATAACCATGTTTATAAACCAATGAGGAGACTCACTTTTCCCACTGCTGATAAACACACGAGGGGACTGCAAAAAGCTCATGAGAGAATTCTGTTAACTTTTACAGTGATCTATCTATCCATGAACCTTTTGAAGACTCCTTATATGTATTTCTTTTTCTGATTTATCTGCTGATTTTCTGCTCCTGGAGGACCAAGACTTTGGTTTTGTTTCCAGTGGTATCCCTGGCGTCTGGACAGTGCCTGCCGCTGTGTGGGTGACAGAGAAGGGGACGTGGCTCGGGTATTCTACTCTGAGCTCACTGCCTGTTAGCCAGACCCCACCGAGGACACCCATGACAGAACCTCAGTGACAAGGACGCACTTCCCCTCTCCTCCGTGCTGGGGTGTCAAAGAGCGAGAAACAGCGCTGAAGAGAGAAAGGGGACCTCTCCCTTAGTCACAACACCCCCTTTCTCCTCTGCAGACTGGAATCCAACCACCTGTGTGTCCTCAGGGGATGCTCACAGGGTGCACCTTGCATTCTCTCAGTTAGTTCTATGGCATCTGCAACACAAAGGGAGTCCCCAGAGAAACTAGCTCCTCCCGACAGAGATGTCACAAACCCCAACGGGAGAGTGCGGCTACATCGTGGGCATCACAGAGCACTCTGGACAAGATCTGTTACATGGGAACGAACTCACTGGGTAAATTCTCACCTAAAACACACACAAAATTGAAAAACATAAACCACAAACCAAGTGACTTACACCACCAAAAATTCAATACCCTTCGGTTGTGGAATTTGGCATGGGTCTCAGTAAGCCAAAAGAAAGACAATCAGGACGGCATTCCTGTGGGGCTGCTAGAGGCTGCCGCACTCCTGTTTTCTGGCCAGGCCGGTCTTTCCCTTTTACTCCTGCCCTCCTCCTCCTGCCCGGACTCCTGTTTCCCTCTCCCACGCACACATTCCTTCCTTGGACGCTCCCTCCCATCTCTTGCTGCGATACCTTACTGAGCTCCCTTCAGACAGCTGCCCAGTATGCAGTTGACCAAAAGCTGTCAACCAAATGGCCAGATTCTGGACAGAGACCTGAGTCCATGTTCATCTGATGGAGAACAGCCGCCTTAAGAAAGGGTGTCTTTCACACTTGAACGCCCAACCACCACAAGGGAACAAAGTGTACTTACTTTGGCTGCAGGGTCTGCCTGGGCCACGTGCCATCTTCGTTTTGGGGCTCAATGACTAGCACCTAGGTGAAAGCGGGAGGCAAGTGAGGAAAGCGCAAGCCCCCCCCATGCCCAATCAAGTCAGGTCCCTGGCTGCCCAGGATATTTGTGTGAGGGCTAGGGGGGTGGGGGTGGGGACACACACGCATGACCTGGCCCCTCCTACCTGACCCTGGTACAGGCCAGCATCCTGGACAGTGTTGTCCATCTTGCTCAGCTGCTCGTAGGTGTTACTCATATACTTGTTCCAGAGCCGCGTCTCACGCTCCGCGGGGATGTTGAACAGCTTCCGCATCTCCTTCTCAATGGTGGCTGGGGAGAGGCGGAACCGACCCTCAGCTGGCTCCAGGCACAGCCAGCTAACACTTGTCCTTACTCCTCAGGGTGCACAGAGGTTCGGGAGGACCGTGCTCCCTGGGCACGACTGGAGAGGCCACCATCTTCCCAGGGCATCAGCCTGGACCCATTTCCTGTCTTATCCTCCACTGATATGGGAGACATTTCCAGCACAGAAGCAACAAGGAAATGTGGAAAAATGTGTTGAAGGGGTCGAGGCATGTCTGGATTCCAATGCCAGCTCTGCCACACGCTCACCAGGACTCTGAATGACGTCTGGCGGCTCTGAGCCTGTATTTGTTCTCACAGGGCAAACAGGCAGGGAGCACTCCCAGTGTTCTGTTGAACATGATTCCCAGAGAATTCCTCAGGTCAGGGGTGGGAGCCAGAGCCTAGAATTATCTGACCGCTTATCTGCTTAACTGGCTACTGATCTGAAGACGGCAGCCTCCCTCTGGCCAGTGCACGCCCGCGCTCTCACCGATGGTGTCCGCCTTGCTGAAGTGGCAACTCAGCACGTTGGTAGGGTCACTGTTCTCACAGAGCTTCAGCTCCAGCAAGTACACCTCAACCTTGCAGTGCTTGACAAAGAGGCCATGCTCCACAACCTGCAGGCAAGGGGGCAGGGGCAAAAGCAGAAGGTTCACACCAGGCAGCCTTGGCAGCACCAAGCCTCATCAGCGGCCAATGGCAGAAACACCATCATTATCCATTTCCCTAAGTGACCAGGGGATCAGCAGGACAAGTGCAAAAAGGCCACTGGCATCTGGCCCTGGAGTTTCCAATCTTTTCCACTCAGTAAGACCAAGCAAGAGCACCCGGTCCCCTTGATGGAACTAGGGAGAAGCCCACCTATCCCTCACCGTTTTTAATGCAGGGTGGCCAGCAGGGCCTCCAGACGGGTCCCAGGAGGCCGGCTCTGAACAAGTGCAGCAAAACCCAAAGCCCTTCTTACCTGCTCTCTCTCTTTAAAGAAGCTCAATTATAAAGAAAATTTATATTTCAGGAGGACAGCCACCTGATGAAGGCCAAAAGCTAACTACTGTATATACTCAAGTATAAGCCAACCCAAATGTCAGCCAAGACACCTAACTTTACCACAAAAACAGCATTAAAAATGTGCTAGAAAACTTGGCTTATACACGACTATATACGGTAACTCATCAACTAAAAAACAATTATCAAAAACGAGGAGCTATACTTGCCCATAATCAGGAGGCCGCATCAGACACCACACCTCGGGGAGGTGGTTGTCTGTCTTGGGCGGGGGTGGGGGTGGGGGGGTGCGTGGGGCTCGATGCCGCACAGGGATGCTCAGTCTGAGGACTAGCACCCGCAGGCAACACCCAGGGCACCATGCTCCCCACACGGCTGCGCTCTAACAGGATTCTGCAGGTAGGCCCCCGGCCTTCTCAGGGACGCAGGTATCTAGCTGGAGGAAAAGGTAGCTCGGACGCTGAGCAGCAACCCCCTGCTGTGTGGGTTCAGGATGACAGCTCTGTCCTACGATGTAGACAGTAGGGGAGTCACCAACTTACCCCCAAGTCAGCAAGTTCGGTGGGTTGCCATGATGCTCTCTTACAGAATAAGCAATGGTTGGTGAGAGACAGGACAGGACCGTGGTCTCTTTAAGAGTCTTATCTACCAGCAGGGTTTACCATCTAGGTTTCTGTCCCTCAAGAGGCTGACCTCTTTGAGTTACTCAACAATGCTGCCAAAGACTCTTAAGCAAAGGGGGAAAGTACTATCAGAAAGGCTTAAGATAAACAAGAAGCAACACATTACTCCATGTGTACACACTGCAGGTAACCTCCCCCCCACCCCCCAGTCTTCCAAAGAGGGATCTCGCAGCATTGCTGGACACGCGCATGGCCCTGGGCAGCTCTGGTGTCTGGAGACCACTCACTGAAACATGCTTTCAAGAGTCTCGGCACCACCAAACCCTCCAAAAGAGAACCGGGAACAAGGCCGCAAGCGCCTCCGTGCAACCACTTAGGCCCGGTCGTCTGTTCCCCAGGAGAGCAGCCAGTCAGGGTCTCCAGGGGCACCAGTCGCACACTCACTTTTCTGACGATGGGCTGCTGGCCTTCAATACAGCCGTACCAGTTGAGTAACTTATTCCAGGCCTCCGTCGGCACCAGGACATAGTCCAATTCATCAATTAAGTGCTCCTTCAAAGTCTGACTCTCAGGATCTGAAAAAGGGAAACATGGCCCATCACGCCTGCTCTTCTCCCCAGAAATACTTGTGACAAAATTCTTATGCGTTTTTGAAAAATAAGAAATGTATGTTCTGAAAACAGGCGCCAAGCTCCAAAATACTGCCACTGGCCAGAGCAAAAGGCAGGCCTGCCCACAACCTGCCACAGCCCTGCTTTCTCAACCTGGAGGAGGAGCTTCTCTTTCTTCTACAATGGGAACTGAGGGTGAAAAGGAAAAAACCCCCAGTTGACAAAGATCTTCCAGATTCCGCCACTCAAACCCTTAGTTAGGGTTAGTCACAGTACACGCTGCTTGGTAAATGCAGTCACGTCACTGTAGCCTTCCCTGAAAGACGGATTAAGAAAGCAAATACATAATTATAAGCCGATGTGACCAAGAATCATTTTGCATTCTTAATTTTAAATCCTCCGAGTCAAAGCCCAAGTGGACGATGCCTGGTGGAGGGAGAACATATTTGAAGTGCTAAGCATTCATCTTCTGGCTAGGAGAGGGAGGGCACCCTGAGGCAGAACTGAAGATGCAAGGTCTGCAGCCCACGCCCTCGAGGGAGGACCTAGGGCCCACCCACCCGGGTCACCTCCGGCCGCCCTTACAAGCCCTGCCAGCCAGCACACACTCCGGGAACAGTGGAAATCACACAAAAAGGGAAGTAAAATGTATCCAGACTCCTTGATAGGGCTGAATTATTGAATTGAATGACATGTGGATAAAGCGCTAAAGAAAAAAACTGTTTAAAAAAAAAAGCACCCCGATACAAAATAATAATAATATATAATCGATCAAGGATTCACGAGGGTGGAAGGATGAGGGAGGGAGGGGAAAAAAGAAGTGCTCATACCAAAGGTTCAAGCAGAAAATGTTTTGGAAATGATGATGGCAACATTATGTATAAATATGCTTGAAATAATTGATGTATGGAATGTTCTAAGAGCTGTAAGCGCCCCCCCCAATAAAATGATTTGAAGAAAAATGAAAAGTACCCAAAGAGGTGCTACTCGATCTGATACTCATGGAAGAGGTGGTTTTTGAAACAGAATGAATGCATGAGTTAACCGGGCCTGCCTTCGCCTCTTTTCATCCTCAAATCAAAGGGCAGCGCTCTGGCGAACAAAACTGCCGAGGTCTGCTCAGCAAGCGGGACGTTACTCCTCAGTGGCAACCAGAAAGGACACAAACACGCCACAGCACAAGTCACTCACGGAAGGACAAACCCTGCACAATACCAACGTACGAAATATCCAGAGGCAAATGCATGGAGACCAATGTTTGAGAGAGGGCACACCAAGGGGTGGGAGGGAAGGGAAAATACTGCCTAAGGTCATGATGAGTGGCCCACACGATGAATTCCATTAACGTCACTGAATTGTACACCTAAAACTAGTTAAAATGGAAAATGACTCACGATATAAACTTCACAACTGTTTTCAAAAGGCCAGCACATGGTAATCAGTGTTAGGAAGGGGCAAACCCAGACTGCTGTGGCAGCTTACAAGGAACACCGGCGGTGGAGTGGGCTACACAATGGGCTAACTGCAAGGTCAGCATTTTGAATCAACCCACCAGCTGCTCCACGGGAGAAAGATAAGGCTGCCTGCTCCCATACAACCTTCTGGTCTCAGAAACCCACAAGAGCAGCTCTACTCTGTCCGGTAGGGCTACTATGAATCCGAATTGAATTGATGGCCGTGTGCATGCTAGCTTATATGTTTGAAGGGTTTTCAGAAAATGTATTTCAGGGGACAAAGAGAGGTGTGCACATGTGTTTAAAAAACAAAACAAAAACCACCAGAATGAGCCAGTAACTTTCAACAGCAGCTCTGGCGTGACTAGACACTGGCCAAGCAGGCGTTTGCTGTCCAGGTGTTCAGGAACAGGAGGCCAGTCCAGGCACAGTACTCATCCCTTTGTTGGAGACAAGAGCTTCCAAAAACTCTGTGACACCTAAACTAAAAAGTTTTCTGATTTACAAATTGAAAACTTCTATAAAAGTCATTCCCTTTAAAAAATATATTTTTTTAAAGTAATTTACTTTCTGTCTTGGAAAGATATACTCATTTCTAATACTAACCACCACATAGACCTGGCCACCCAGACTACATGCAGCATTAGCCAGAAACTTTTAAATGCAGGAAAGAAACCAATCGCTTTCAGCCTCATCAACCTACCCCCCACCACCACCCAGTACATCATTCAAAGCTTTTTCCTTTGTGGCTCGGTGACAAAGTTCCCAATCATGTTAGTCCTAGGACATCAGATTGCAAGGACAGGAAATTTAACTGGCAAGCTGGGTCAGTCCAAGAGCATCAGGCTAAAGCTCACAAGGGGATTTTGAAGGGAAGATTTCCCCGATACAAATGTCCTCAAAGGAGGGGTGACTAAGCGGGGAAAGGAAAGCAAAGTCTTGGTCTTGGCACAGGGACTCCAGCTGGCACACAGCAGAAACACACGTAGAAATGAGAAGGGGTGCTTTGCAGACATCAGCAAGGACACACGCTTCCTCCTCCCTCCTCTCTCCCAAGAATCCCTGCTAGTCACTCCCCGGCTCTTGGTAGAAGGCAGCTGGGCTGGGCATGGCAGGTAACTGAGTCTGGGGATTCAGAGTCCACCTCGTTCACCAGAACTGGGTCCTTCCTGCACCGTGAATGTCCCAGGGTCTGTATGGAATGGGCTGTTCCCCTCCCAAGCACACAGAGACATTTCAAGTCAAAGCCAGGGACATAAGTTGGGCACTACAGAAAGAATGTCTTCCCTTAGATGAAGGTCATGCAAAATGCTTTCTGAGGGTCCCCCCAGCCCCAGCTCTAATATTCTCACTACTATTTCATTAAAAATCTTACAAATTTCTCCTTTTCAAAAAAACGTGGTAAATGGCCAGGGAGAAAGACAACGCAATGCTTCCCAACTAAGGGGCAACGTCAAGGCTCAGTGCCACCACCTGGCCTCCATCGGGAACAAAGCAAAAGTCAATGTCGATGATGCCACTCTGACCGCCCCGACCTAAAACAAGGTCTGAGGTGACGTGTGGCTATTTTTTCTGAATACTTGATTGCGGTTTGGGTGAAAAGTAGATGAGTTTCCTATTCCACAACGGGTGCATTTTAGTTCTTGACAAATTTGTTGCTCATTTTAAATACCTCCAGGTTAATGACCGGGGACTGGATCAAGTCTCAAACACAGACTGTTTATGGCAGCCCAGATTCTGTGCCCAGGCCACAGATCACCTGTCTTGCCTATGAGGATGTCTGTGAGTCTGGCAGGTAAAGCCTGGGGCAGAGTGATGCAAACAGACGCGGCCCAGGCTCTGCTGGGCTGTGCATCCCTTTCCCACTTTCCCCGGGAGTAGGCTCAACGTGGTCTAACTATTGACCGACCTTCCACCTGTCTTCACACTGCTCCTAGGACAAACACAGCCACCACAGGGTGCTTGACCAAAGTCAAGTCTACTGCAAAGGTGAGTTATTTCATTGTGCCAACCTGGCCGATAATCACATGTGGGGCTAATTGAAAGACACATGGATAAATGGCTCGGGGAGCCTCACCTTTCTAGTTCTCAGGTCTCTTGTTTTGTGATGGTTGCACCGGGTGCAGCTGCCTTAGCAGTTCCCTGCTTCAGCTTGCAAGATTGACTTCTTACAAGACATCCCCAAGGAGAAGCCACATGGACCTATCCCGATGCAGCCCTGGGTACTGGAGCAGCCGTGTGGAGATCCCTGCTAGTGCTGAGATGCTTGTTCATTCACTGACTCAGCTTTCCTCCTGCAGTCGGCATCACTGCCTCTGTTATGTGAGGTGGAGGACTTTGTGGACTGGTGTTGGGTTAATGGGTTAATGTTGGACTTGTGGGCTTGGGCAGCATTAGGTTGGGATGTTTTCATGATGCACATTTTCTTTACATAAAACTCTCTCTTATACATGAGTTGCTGTGGATTTGTTTCTCCAAAGTACCCAGACTAATACAAAAGGTAACACAGAAAAACACCAGCTTCCAAGTTTCAGACTCCAGACTCAAGTTCAAAATGATATTCTATTTCTTTCCACCGCATATTACCAATCTAAACGCTGAGCACTAGCTGAGCTACTTTGTTTTTAAAGTAAAAAAGACAGGTCAAGTCACATGAGAATTTTGGATGTACACAAGCAGCTTGGGCAGCTACTCATTTTTTGGTCGCTGCTGTAATTATTGGCTATATAACTGCTGTATCTCTACGGTGTTTTTCCAATTCAGCTTTGTATAGGTGCACAACTTACTCAGAGATATTACACAATCAGCTGTGCAGCCCCACCTTTCGCCAACATGCTACTGCCACCCGTGACCCCATTTCTGCTGCCTTCTACCCCGGGAACCACTCATAAACTTTGCTGTAGCTGAAAAGGAAAGAGAAATTTGAAATTAAGATGCTCTTGTTAGAAGCAGTGAATTTAGGAGGAAAAACTGCTCAATTTCTCCCTGCGGGTCTCAAACTTCTGCTATAGATATAAATCGAGGGCACTAATGATCGCCTCCTATTAGAACAGTTCATGTCACAGATAAATTTGATCTCAGGCCACTGTCCAAGTGGCCTCTGCTGCGAGAAAAGCAATAGGGTGCTCTACCTGAAAAGAGGCCGGAGTTGTCGATCGGGCCAGGAAACAGGTTGTGTTCGCCAACATTGTACATATCCCAGCTGTCAAAGCCCACATACTTCTTCCACTGCTTGAACCACCGGCTGTCAATAAGGTACCTGGAGACACACAAAATGACTGTGGCAGAGAAGCTGAGATGACAACCTTCTACATCTTTTCCCTTCTTTTTGTTAAGGTCTTTCTTTTGGGGTAACTCATGAATCCCCATTAAAACACTCACGCAATCAAGAGTAGCAGAGCCAGGCCCCAAAACAGCAGAGCCTGGCCTAGCGCAGGTCGCAAGTGAAATGATCATCGTTAAACGCAAAAATGGAGGGAAGACAATGTTTAGCTGCAAGATAGTCATTTCACTGCCCTCTGATATGTAAAAATCCTGTTTGTGAACAACCAGGTCATTCACTTGACACTAGTTTGTACAGAGGTCCAATCTCGACAGACAATGTGGGGTTACACTACTTCGCCAGATGCGGACAGGACAGGGATTTCATTTCTGAAAATGGGAGAAGAAAAAGCACTACCGCCTACTCCCGACCCCCTTTATGGACAAACGAGATCAAATATGAGTGACAGCACCTAGTGTGTTCTCACTTCTTGATTACACCACTAGACTGGAATAAGTCATTTCTTCTTAAACGCATGAGGATGGTGTATGTCTACATGGATATACACACACAATGGGGGCTTCCAGGAGTTCCTGGAAACATGAATTAAATCACCAATGGATCTTTCCCAATGAGTTTTCGAAGTACCCTTGTACACATGTATGTTCAAACACCTGTATATAGTTGGTTGAACTTGCAAACCTGTGTTTGTATACACAAACACATATGTAATGTCTGTCTTCTTCAGTGGAGCCCTAGTGTTATAGGGGTTACCTATTGGGCTGCTAATGGCAAAGTCAGCAGTTCAAAACCACCAGTTGACTGGACTTCCTACTCCCTTAAAAAATTACAGTCTTGGAAACTCACAGGTACAGTTCTTCTACCCAATCCTATAAGGTCGCCTTGAATAGGAATCAACTTGATGGCAATGAGTTTGGTGTGGTTTGGGGTTAGATGTCTTATCATCTATCACTTAGTTGTGTTTCACATTTACCTTGGTTTTTTTATATTTTAATATAAGCATATCTGGTTATAATTTTAAAGTACTACTTTTATTATTAAGCCAAGAGGAGAAATAAACCTCTGTGGGGCAGTAAAAAGTTGTCCTTCCAATTTTTTAACCAACAAAACTTCCAAGCAGTCACATGGATTCAAAACTTCTATGTTCTTTTCTCTCCAAACTCCTTGAACAATCCCTTACACTCACTTTATGTGTGTGCTTTTAAGTCTATCTTAAATTCCTTCTGTTTCTACCAAGTATTCTTTTTCATAGAACACGCTGTACAGGCTAACTCCGAAAATACCTTAGCTTGCCCTGCCTTTCATAACCTGGCTAGCTCAAGATGAACAGTCAAGTCCCATCTGAACTCTCTTAGACACAGTGTTTCTCTTCTTAGCGCAAACCTCTGTCCTTCTCACCCCCACCATGATTTCTTACAGCTGGGAGCCGCTCAGTAATATACTCATGCAAAGGCTAACCTCAGTTTTCTACGCCAGGCGATAACGCCACCCGGGAACCTCTCCACTAGGAGAACGTCCCTTCCACTAAACAATCTATTCATAAACTTCACGTCTCAGTCTCGCTCTTCTAAGTTCTGGACTTGCTACGTTGCTTTTGACTTTTGCTACCAAATAAACAAGAGCTCCGGGACATTTGCTCAGCTCCTGACCTTGACATCGGTTCTGCAGTTTACAAGTTACCAAGTATCACTTCTGATCCTCGTCTCAACCCAGAGAGGGCGGTGGGCCAACTACTGCCACCTGGTTTACTAGTGAGTGAAAAAGCAGGGTCTAGGAGGCGTGGGCCTCTACGTCCAAGGTCACTTGACTACAGTCCTACAGAGTACAGGGCTCTCCAACCCTCACTATCCCCCACAGCACTCCACTTCCTCCCCTTCCTGCAGCCTTTGCCCCCCGGCGGGCCCGCCCCCTTGGGCCGCGTAGGGACAGGACTGAGCCCCGTGGCGCCGCACTTTCCCAGAACTGAGGTCAGGATTCCTCTACAGTGGGCGGGGGTCAGGCCACCCTCTCAGGGTCACCAGACACCGCCCCCGCCCGGC